GCCGCACACATGACATAGCTGCCTTTTCCCTACCACTCCTCTGCCTTCAATGACCACCACCAGGTCTTGTTTGACTAATTTTTCATGGCCTCAAATGGTTTTTCTTCGGACGATGACTGCACTGTGACATTTATGAAAATCCCACCAATTCCATGTGAAAAGTTGACTGGAACAACTATAGTACTTGGGCAGCCGCTATCCAAATAGGGTTCCACAATCAAGGCCTTGTGACCAACCAAGCTGTAGATATTTGAGCGAAGGATCGAACCCATTCGTAGCAAATTGATGCTTCTTTATGCAGCGTGCTTTGGTTCTCTATTGCTCCCAACCTTCAACCTCAATATCAGGCATTTCCAACTTGTTATGAGGTCTAGACAAAAGCCAAGAAGGTCTACTCCAACAATATCCATAGTCTCTAAAGAGTGATAATCGCTATGATATCAACCAAGCTTGAGAATATGGACATGTATCTTGGTAAGTTCAATTGTTTGATTGCTGATTATGTCATTCTAATGCCTTTTACTAGTGATGCAATTATGCAAAGACTTCTCACCAACAACGTAGCCAATTCTTCATGATTCCTTCTCTTGCTCGTCTCCCACCTGACCTTGACTTGGTACGTAACCAAATACCATCAGGCCCTATTGTTCCTTATTATAACATGATTAAGGAACAACTATAGCATCTCTCCATTCCACATGCTTTTAGGCATCTCCTCCACCCTTGTCTCACTTTTCTCATGGTGGGGATCATGGTGGCAAAAGCCACCCTCATTGCAATTACTATAACTGCTATGGCCATGTTGAGGCAAAAATGTCACAACAAAGTCAGGGAACAATTGATATCAGCTAATGTGTAGAAGTCTCTACACATGCCCCAACTGCAGATGTTACTATTTTCGCCACCAAATATCATGTCCTCCAATTCCCAACAGCTCAACAACTTGCCTCACTTGTTACTATTGTTGCTTCATTTGGTCATATTGTAGCACGTCTCTTGCACCCTGGACACTTGACTTCAATGCCTTTTGTCACATGATTGGTATTTGGTAGCCAATCTCTTCTCTCTCAGTTGTTGTCTTCTTCAGACACATTGCCTTTTGTTACTCTCGCAGATGACTCTTAGATTAAAGTTCATGGAATTGGCAAAACCCACCCATTTCCTAACCTTTCTTTAAATTGTTTTATTTGTTAATAGTTGTCCTTTCAATTAAATTTCCTTTAGCAAGCTTACCCGCTCACTGATCTTTGACTTGTTTGTTAATCATTTTGTTCTTGTTTAGGATCAATGTATTGGACTAATGAATAGAGAATCACATGAGTTTAGGGGATTGTATCAACTTTCATCGTTGGTTGCATGTGTCTCCACTACCTCCTCAGATATTTCCTATTAGTGCCTCGACCATCCTAGTTTGGAAAAATTGGTCTTTTGGTTCCTAGTCTCTCTACACTTCAATCCTTCCAATGTGAGCCATGGCTTGTCCCTATCAGCAACAAGCGATGTTGCGCAACATGGTTACTTCATAGGTAAATGGAAGTTGGGAGCTAGCTCCCTTGCCTCATAACAAGGCTACTGTTGGTTGTTGTTGGGTTTATATGATGAAGATTGGACCAAATGATGATATTGATTGATTCAAAGCTCACTTGTTGGCTAAAAGTTATATCCAAATTTTTTGCCTCAATTATGGGGAAACCTTTTCCCTAGTGGCCAAGATCACATTTGTTCGTCTCAATCTTGCTATAGCAGCCATTAACCATTGGTCGCTTCACCAGCTAGATATTAAGAATTAATTATTGTATGGATAGTTGCAGGAAGACACTTTACATGGATCAACCCCCTAGTTTTACTATTTTAGGTGACACTCAACTTGTTTGTCACCTTTGTCGTTCTGTATGGCCTGAAGCAATCTTCTTGTGCCTAGTTTGGTTTTTTTAACTTTGCATTACTTCAGTTTGGTATGACTCATTACGAGGCTAACCACACTGTTTTTTCCCTTCACTCTCCATTTGGCTTGTGCATTTATCTAGTGGTCTATGTTGATGACATTGTTATCACTAGTGATAATTTTGATGGCATCCACCTGCTCATATCTCACCTTTAGAGTCAATTTCAAACAAAAGACCTAGGACTACTCAAATATTTTTTAGGCATTGAGGTTACTTAATCCACCTCTGTCGTAGCCATTTCCCAAATGAAATATGCTCTTTAGTGAGATTGATATCCTTGATTTCCGCCCAAGTAATAGTCCTATGGATCCCAATGTGAAGCTTCTTCTAGTTTAAGGGGAGCGACTAGAAGAGCCAAGAAGATATTGTTGACTTCTTTGTAGAATGGATTACCTCATTGTCAACAAATTAGATATCACATTTGCAATAAGCGTGGTAAGTCAATTACTAAATGCCCCTTGTGATAGCCATAGAATTGTCATGTGCATCCTCAAATATATCCAAAATGCACCAAGTCACATTCTCTTATATGAAGACATGACAAGATCATCATTAGATAAGAAGTTCACCTATGGCTATTGTGTTCTTATTGGAGAGAAATTGATCTCATGGAGAAGCTTAATACAATTGGTAGATCTAGCGTCGAAATTGAATATTGTGCCATGGAAGTAGCTACATGTTGGAGACACTCAAAATATAAAGCTTATCTACAACCAAGTCGCTCTTCACATTGCATCTAATATTAGTCTTCCATGAATAGACTAAACATAGAGATAGATTGTCATTTTGTGATGGAGAAACTAGAAAGTGCTCTCGAGCGAAATCACCGTCAATTTGTTAGCTCTAGTGACCAATTGGCAAATATATTCAATAAATCTCTTGAGGGGACTCTTTGTTGATCGTAATTATAACAAGCTTTAATCATATGATATATATGCTCCAACTTGAGGGGAGTGTTAAAAGATACGTGATCTTTGTAAATAAGGAAAATATGTAAAACTAGAAATAAGGGATCTCTATTATCTTTTCTTGTGTCCTTAATCATTTTATTCATTACCTGATTGTAAATAAAGTTGAATGTGTGGGTTAGATACACACAATCCCTATAAACCCTAGTTTTAAATCAAATGCAATTTGTCCCCTTATTGACCCAACGGTGGCGGTGTTCTATGCCACTGTTGCAATGGTTTTGACACCAATGTAAATGTAACATTTTAATAGGGTTCAAATAATTTGAAAAACTCAATTCTTTTATGAAACATTTCTACTTTAGGAAGTTATGAATTTATATATGATTTAGTTATTTATGTAGTTTGATTTGATCCTATTTAGTAATGGTGTACTAGCACATTTTATTATTGTGGTTTACTACTTTGCTTTATTATGGAGTTGAAATGTAGAACTATTGTGGTGTTAGAGTATTATGTTATGCATATCAGATGTATTTCACTAATGGGTTTTTTAAATATTGATTTTTATATCAAGTAAACTCTAATGAGTTTACAGTCATTAAATGAGTCAAGTCAACCAAAGCTCCACATATTCACTAATGGGGTGGCATCTATAGTTATGATCTCAGACAATTACAAATTTCATATCCATAATTTACCTGCGAAATATCAACTATCCCTGCTTCCACTGATTCTGTATTCTTGCCTGTAACAAGTGAAGAAAATTAAAATAAGACAAAATGGAATTGCCAAAATTAAGGGGCAACACACACAAAGAGGCATTACCAGAAGATTGCTCTGCATACTTTATTAATTTAATAATCTCTTCCTGGCAAAACCCATTGGAAAATAAGGTTATGCCTTGTACTTGTCATTAAAAAAAAAAAAACCTAAAAAATGCTACAGAAACGTACCCTCTGTAAACCGTTCTGTTGCAGGATGCACTGCAGTGATGGAAGAATAGCAGCAGCCAAAAAATTTTGATTTGGTGGACTGGTAGGACTAACAATTGGGCCAGAAGTGCTGTTTGAAGGACCCTAAATGAGTAAAAGAAATGGCAATGGTTACAAAGCCATTGCCTAAAACATAAATCTCCTAAGTTCCATCCTCAATAATCGATATTAATGAAGTCAAACATTCAAACAGACGTAAAATCCAACTACAATTTTTATAGTGTCTCAAGGTAGCAAACAGGATGGGCTACAGTATTTAATAAATAGTATAGTCTGCATTTAATTAGACTAGCAAAGATCTAACCAGAAATTAGTATGCAGAAGAAAAATGGCAATAGACACTGTTCTGGTATGCCTTAGCCTCCGTTGGAGTGTGTTTTGCCAGTACACACCAAACTAAAGAGAAGAGAAGGAGAACAAGAGATTGATCGGGGAGAGGTAGGAAAGAAAGAAGGAAGGTCAACAGAAATATCATTGGGGTTCGAGGGTTATTGTGTTACTTCTTGAAAGTAACACAATTTTTTCAGCAAACTCTTCATTAAATGATGAATTTCATGTGGGTCACACTAAATAGGAAGGTAAGACCCAGATGATTTAGTGGATTCCACATTACTTTCACCTAATAATAAAGTGTCAAAAAAAATTGTTTTGCTAACCTCTACAAAGAAAATTTGTTCAAGGATACTACAAGTAGTGGGGAAAAAAATCTGCCATTTGATACATACCATTGGACTGAGATCTGCTGAAGTAACCTTAAACCGCCCCCTACGCTGGACAAATGCTCCGTCTGATGTGTCATCAACTGCACATAGAAATAGCATTAAAAACATATGCAAGAGTCATTTCCCAATGCATTTATTTAGAGATAAAGTAAAAATATTGCTGATAGTGGAGAAAGAAACTGATAAAGATTATCAAAATACCAATCAGATTAACAAGAAAAATACACATACCCATTGGGAGGTTGTTGGTATCTCTCTTCTGCCGATATTGCAATGGACCACTGTGATTCCTCTCCGAAGAATATTTTGTTTGTAGATAATCCCTTTTAAGAGAAACAAAACATATGATAGCACATTAATAATTCAAGCCAAATATGCAGCAGTAATAAAGCAACAGGAACATCTAGGAGAAAAAGAAACGATCCCAATTCTCTCAGTAGTCAGTGCCAGATCATTATGAAACCAAGCTTTCAATGGATACCAATTTTTCATAAATTGTCAGTAATCATGTTTCATTTTCTAACGCAATCAATGCATTTGCACAATTTGTAAAAGAAATTTCAAGAGATAAGACTATAAGAGTGATAAGACAGGCACAACAAAAGAAAAAAGTGCCGAAGACATTGCACAGCATGCAAAGTTACAAATCTTAGACATTTACTTCAGCTTGCTCAAATCCTTTTAAAAAAAAAATATTTTCAAGAAACTATCTAAGAAGTTCTAGTAACAAGTCCAAAAGAAAATGGGAAAGAAAAATGAAGCTATAAAAAAATTACCTGTCCCCATCAGTAACAACCTTTTTGGGAAAAAGAAAATTGTCAGGTAGCAAAGAACCACTCAAAAACTTTTTTTGCTGAGCAATAGCATTTTGTTGTAATGAAGTACTTGGCCCAGAGTTTTCATTGTTAATCCGTCCATAATCATGATCCAAATCTCTTGGACTGCTATTATTAACGTCGTCCTCACACATATCAAAACATCCTCTGCATAATTTACATATACATAAGAAAAAGATTCACCAATGGAAACTACATCGCTATTTACTAAACTAGTACATGATCTTAGGAAATGCTATGAAGAATTTAAATTAGTCACCAAAAAAATAAAAACACTTTCACAGTTGATAATTCAAATGCACACATCCCATTTGCCACATCCAAAATTTCTCTTTAATTCTTTATAAGGCAAAAAAAAGTATAGCATTCTATATTTCTATAAATTAATGGAGAAATGCATTAAAAGAATATTGTTTAAACTTTCACATACACCATATACTAAGACTTAATGAAGAATTGATGAGATATAAATAAAGCAGTCGATTTGTATGTTATCAGTGCCTTACTACAATAACTAAATAAAATAAACAACCCAATTTCTAACTATACAACCAACAGTGTGTCAGCTAGAAACTTAAGCTTCCACATAACTGGAAACATATTTGATATCATAACCTAAGCACAATAATAGCACTTGAAAATAGAAAAGAAGAAGTAGAAAAGAAAAGAATGGAAGAGAAAACCATACTTAAGTGCTTGAAGAGGTTTACTAGGAAATGAAGCAAGTGAACCCTCCAAATCCCGAAGATTGTTGAATCCACCCTGAAATAGGATGTTATGTAAATCCTGTCCAGTATTCTTCAAAAAAAAAAAAAGTATAGTTCAAAAAGGACAATGTAAAGAAAGCTTTAGATCATTTTAGGGCAATAACAGTACCTCCTTGTCCTGCATGGATGCATCATCTGAATGATTAGACACTACAGCTGATAGCCCCTCTGCAGGAACCCTGAAGTCATCCAATCTGTCTTTTTGCTTCTTATCCCTATGTGGCTCTTCTGCACTAGTTATGTCATCATCTTGAATCTGTTGGCAACATAAAAATGTTTACAAGAAGACAGATAATATGCACAATAATGCCTAACTTTCTCTCCTAATTAAAATAAATAAATAAATAAGACAAAGTACGAAGGTGAAAATACTTACAAGAGAAGCTTGATTTTTTAAATCCTCCAGGTTAAAATTCCAGGCACTAATTCCTCGAATATATTCTTTCTGTACATGAAATAGTTGGTCAAATGTAGCATAGTCTTAATTATTAATCCTCAAGGTCTAATCACAAAATGAAGTATGAATACAACACAATAACATGAATACAGTACAGTGACATAATGAGAAACTGCACTCATAAAAATCATCACCTTGCATAGACCATGCCAGAAGCAAGCATTTACTACACAGAACTTAAAATGAACCTACCTGTGATAATTGCTCCTTGTCCTCATAAAGAGCCTTGTTCTGCACCAATAAATCCGCCTCTTTAGCCTGGAACATGAGCAAGAGGAATGATAATAAAACCCAAACAAATTTTAACATAAGACAGAACAGAAGAATTTGAAAATGAACAGCAAACCTTCAGCAATCTAAAACGATCTCCCAAAGGAGCAAGACCATCTAGAATGGTTCGAGCTAAATATTTGGTGCCACGTGCATTTTTAAAGAAGTGGTGCTTTAAAAGCTTTTCTGAACTTGGACGCTTTTTTGGGTCTTTTACTAAGCAGGTCGCAACTAACTCTTTGAAAGCCTGTGCAGTAACAAGGAAAAATTTAGATGTAAATAACCAACAAAAGAAGTAGATAAGAGAAAGTGTTTAGTGAACACCACAAACCTTTGAAAATCTCTTGTCTCTTTCATAATCAAGACCTGGAGGGGCATTTTGTAAAGTCATAAGCAAAACCTGCATCCAGAAAATTAAGGGAAAGAATTCAATCTTGAGCTCACAGGAAAAAACAGAGAAGAGCTGTCAGTAGGTAAGTAAAAATATTAAAAGACAAGAAAATTACTTTCATAGGTGGATACTTGGAAAATGGGGCATGACCATGAGCAAGTTCAAGTGCCGTTATACCAAATGACCATATATCTGCTCTGTTTATAGAGGGGAAAAAACAGAACTCAGCAAAGACTAATATATCAGGGAGCAAAACAAAGATGATAAATTTACACCTAAGAAAGAAGGGAAGAAAAGAAGACACCTACTTAAAATCATATCCATGTAATTGCTGCATGACTTCGGGAGCCATCCTATGGAAAATAAACATAATTTACAGCTTCAACAGTCATTCATACAATGGTAGCCAGATTTCATTTGAAAAACTTAAATAAAGGAGTCTCAATAGAATCGTACCAGCAAGGTGTTCCAACAAAAGTGTTTCTTGAACGTTGCCTATCTCCAGTGTCAAACATACATGCTGACACTCCAAAGTCAGCTAGTTTGACTGCACCATTAGAATCAAGCAAAATATTCCCAGCCTGCATTGTTAAAATTGATTTAAAGGGGAGAAAGTGGATCAGAAAACCAATAAGATGGAGAAAAGGATCAGAAAAAATTCATGCATACAAAAAGATATAGTTCCCGGGTTCGGCTACAGCTTTACAAACATCACAAAAGCAGAAAACTGAGCTCTATCAAAATCTCAAATTCAAGCAAAGAATGCCATTCAGTTTATGATTAAGAAATCTAGCTGTAAGTTATCAAAAGGGTGCATTATTTGATGCACAATACCTTAACATCTCTGTGTATGTGACCATGGGCATGAAGATAAACAAGAGCTTTGAGAACTTCATGCAATAAAGTAGCAATAACAGGCTCATCAAAACCCTCAGGAAAGGAAGATTTCATTATATGAAGGCAAGACCCCCCTGCCATGTATGGCATTACAACCCATAGATTGTGTCCAGCAGTAAAAGAACAATGTGCCCGTAAAACATTTGGATGATCAATCAAGCTCATGGTCTGTACCTCTCTTCGAATGCCATCCTGCAAAATTTGCAGAGCTATCAATAAGAATGTATCCAATATAACAGCCATGCGAAATAGTAGCAAGGATGAATGAACAATTAATTATAGAAAAATGAATTAGAGATTGAATCATTGAAATTATCCATGTAGTAAAGCAAATAATGCAACCCACACATTATTTCAACAGTCTTAAAGAGTGATCAACTGAGAAGACAAATGCATAAATTAGCACCAAAGAATGTAAATATTAATGACACTTAAAATTGTCCTTTTTATAAGTTCATAAGCCATTTAATCCAAGCATGAAGCAACAAACAGCAAGTAAAAAGGAAAAGTACTGAAAATATGAAAACAATATATAATCTACATACCAGATCATTATTGCACTTCTCTAGATCAAGAACCTTGATGGCAACTATCTCATTGAGGGGAATGCAAAGAGCCCTGTATACGGAGGCACTAACGCCTTCACCAACTTCTTCATATAACTTGTAATCTTCTGCACTAAGAGGAAATCTTTTTTCCAAAACATGCTCCATTTTTCTTCTTATATCATAACATCAGTATTTTTATTATTAAATGCACCACTGAAAAAAAATAGATCACATACTGAAGCGGTGAAAGCAATGTTATAATACTTCCAAGTTGGTAGCATTTCCCCTTTTCTCAATCCAAACTAGAAAGTGCATCCAACAACTTTATGAAGATGCTTCTTTTCCACAACTATAATGCTCCCTTCAACTCCACTGATAATGTAATTGACAAACGCTCTCCTTCAATGCTAATTAATATCACCAAACTTTAATTTTGAGTATACTCATCTACTAATCATCCAACAAGGTGTAACTAATTAAACAGGCACCATTAGATATTACACAACTAAAATAGCATGAGATAAGAACCAGAGGTATCAACTCAGCACTGCATGCAGATAGGCAGGTGAAGAGGACATCGCATCAATCTCCAATATCTGCAGAAAAGGTCACAAAGGTCAAATTCAGTACTCAAGAAAATTAAGCAATTGTCCCAACAAATTTAAAAATATTACAGAACAGAATTAGGAGTTAGATCCAAAAATTAATGCAATAATAACACAAAAAAGATGATATCCATTACATATACATACATGCATGTGTCATGAACCAGCCATCCCAAAAATTTTAGCTATTAGGTGAAGACACATGAATTGTTTTATAGTACATCTCCAACATGCCCCCCTCATGCAAGAGCTCTTTTGGCCCCAAGCATAGATAATGCACGGCCCCAGGAGCAACCTTGTGCTAAAATTTGACATTTGATTAGAAGAATGGGGCAGGCAAGGATCAAACCCACCACTTGGCCATAGAGGCCCTAATACTATGTCAAGAATAGGCTATTAGTTAGGTAAAGTCATACAAATGGTTTTACATTACATCTCTAACTACATGCACATACCAAAAATTAATAGCATTTAAAAATACAGTTAACTAGTCCATGTCTCACTTTTTTTTTAGGAGTCATAAGTATTTATGAAAGTCTACAGCTTTTAGCGAGTATTTGTCTAGTTTCTAGTAGTACATTGTCCACCAAAAAGCAGAGAGTATAGGTTTCTTAATGTAGTCATAGGATTAGTATAAATAGAGGTTACAGCTAGCAACTGAGGAAGGTGGCAAAACTATTAAGAGCCCTTAAGAAATGCATTATTTCTTAAATTTTGGATCGTCCCTCTGGATCTTATCATCTTGTTTCACTTATTTTTCAACATTTCTCAACTAGGAGGCCTGTAACTAGATTCAACTAACCTTCATGTTTATCAAAATCTGCAAGCTAACTCAGTTTATGTCCTTATTCTTTTAAGGAATATTAGGATCACTTAAACTGCAAATGAAAAGCAGAAATTACCTATTCTTTATTTAAAACCATGAAATGTTGAGGGTCCATTCATAATTTAGAACATGTCAACACTACCTATAAATAGAGCTTCCATGCCTCTAACAAGCATCAAGATAAAACCCAGCATGAATTAGAGAACTGTCATGTATTTATTTCAAATCCTAGGAGGATGCAGCCAAAAGGCTGTATTTTATTTACTTTCCTTGTCAGGACTCAGAAGATAAAGAAATCAAAATAAAAAGATAAATTTGCTAAGTTATTCACTAATTCAGTTTCCAGAAAGCTGGATTTTTATTTGTTTATAATATAAAAATTCCACATTAATCTCTTTCTGCCTTTTAATGAAAATCAAACTTTTTTTTTCTTTATCTGTCAAATAAAGTCACAATGCTCCAAACAGCAGTACGTCACACCCTGAGAATCACTGCAACTCCAATCTCTTTGCAAGTACTATGGATGATGCCCCCCATGCTTCCCCCTATTTCTCTCATTAACTATCGTCCATTTTCTTATGTATAATTAGGATATCTTTACTAGGATGAAGATGCAGATATTTTAACACAAAGCATTAACTGAGAAGGTAAGGCAGAGGGAAAAACCAAAGGAAACTCCGATTTTATGAAAGAGGTTCTCAACACAAAGTTTTTAACTAGATCTAAACAAGTGCAGATAGAATCTTTTTAGGAGAAGTTCTGTAAAGAATTGACTATTATACATGCATGAGGTTGTGATTTGTCAGAATCATGGTTATTTTGCAAGGCGAACATGATTATGAAAATCAAGAAAATAAATTTCAACTGTTAATTTTAGACATAAATATATTAGAAAATCTTCTTTCTGTTTTGTACCGGTCCTTTCTACTTTGGACTGTGGTCCCCTGCTTGTGTTTGGGCCTAGTTAGTTAACCATCCTCTATTAGCCTATGTCATAAATAAATGACTCAGCATTATAATCAACTCTCAATTCATAATGAATTTAGCCTTCAGTTAGGTTCTGTTATGATTGTGTATCTCTCTATAATTCAACATGGTATCCAGAGCAGGGTTCAAACCCTGATAAATAGCATTTTTTTCTCCCACCCTATCTATGCTCAACCAGTGACCTTTTCCCTCCACCTTCTAATCATCAAGAATGGCATCTTCATCCTCTGCACCTCTAACATTCTCACATGTGATTTCTAAAAAGCTCAGCTCAACACCAAGAATCATCTTCTTCAGTATCAACAAGTCAAACCTATCACTTTGGTGAATCAGGTAAAACTACAAAAATCCCTCACAGTTGAGATCATGAAGTAGGGCACATTTCCAAACTAGTTTCTGGTGTGGGAGCAGCAAATCAATTGATGATCTTATGGCTCTAATCCTCAATTTCTCGCGACATGTTAACTCGAGTCATTGCTTGCAAAACTTGTGACAACTTTGGGAGAAGATTCACATTCTTTCATTTGCACACCAATGCTAGGGCCCAAGCCCAACAATTGCAAAACGAGCTTAAGAGTACACTGCTTAAAGATTGATCCATCTGATAACGTCCTTTGCAATCAAGCCTTGGTTGATAGTGATACACTCAAACCAATTGGTGATGTTGTTTCGCCCAAAGAACATCTTAATGTCATTCTTAAGGAATTTATTATCCAAAAGAATATATGTCAACTATTTTACCATAATTAATAATAATAAATTCAATTCTCTAACTACTCTGCTTCTTGCTCACAAAGCACACCTTAATTCTATTAAGGTACACTTTCATTATATTAACATTACCGAAGCTACCCCTGAAAAAAGCCTCCCAGTGCTGTCTCAAGCAAATTCAGCACAACATCAGTACTCTGCTAATCAACAGTCAGGATATAATCACCCTGACTACTCCTCTGGCCAACATGCAGAACTAAGCAAATACCAAAAATTCAGAAGGTGCCTAACAAACTTTCAAATCTCCAATTACGAAAGCAAAAAACACCGAATCTTTCAAAGATTTTCAACATTAATCAGCGCTCTAACTTGGACAAAATTACAAAATTCAGCAAACAAAGGCTGTTCCCAGGCACGCACTTAATCAACGAAAACCATAAACGCAAGAAAATATATAACGAAATATTTTCCGATCGAAAAATGAAAAAATCAGCAGCGGAAAGCGATTAATTGAGAACAGAAAAAGGAGGTAATTGAATTAAGCGAAGAAATAAACAAACTTAGGGTTTGCGAAGAAGAAGCGTTTACTTGAATCTGACCGAGTCAGAGAGACAGTGTGACTGAGAGAGGAATCAAAAGGACGCCGATTCAGCTCAATCAAGCGAACAAACTCAACACCATGGATTGATTCTTTGCTTTTTCAAGTTCACATCAATCCCTTCCTTAATCTCTCTCTAACACTCTCTGAGCTTCTTTTTCTGTGCCACAACACACTGAGGTTCAACCTCGATTCAATCTCACAGCTCTCTCTTATTTTCGGAACACGATTTAAACAAATTTCGGAAAAATAAAAATAATTATGAGCCAGATTGGTTCTGATCGTTGCTTTGTAGTATAGCACAGAATAATTATTTATTTCAATTTTAATTTAATTTATAGGTAAAAATTGAGAGAAAATAAAAATATTGTAGTGGGACCCGCCAAAAGATTTCTATTTAAGTTGTTGAATTTATCGGGGCTTTCATGAATTTATCTGCAAATTTTAACTGAAATAATAGTTACTTACCAACTCTATTTTATTTTATAAAATTCTTTTAACTAATTATTTTATATTTCTTATTATAAGAAAAAATACTCTTATACTTGTATACATATTAAAAAAATTAGTTGTTTGTGTTAAATTTTATTATTTTTATAATATTTTTAAAAAAATTGTCTTTGTTATAAATATATTAAATTTATCAATAATTTAAACTATCTTTTAAAATTAATTTTAACATTTCTTTTACTTAATCATTCATCAT